TTCAGCATCATCACCTTTATCAGAGCCCACAAGAAAAATTAACTTCAATCTTGAAACTCTGTGCAGAAAAACATACAATCTACTTTATGAACATGTTCTGAATGGCGTTTACTCTAAAAACTTTAAAATTAGTCGTTTGTTTCTCTCCTAGATACAAAAGAAGTAATATAGCCAAAATTTGCTATAGAAAAACTTTCCCATCTCGGTTATAGACGAAAAAGAGGAAATGGGTATAAATAATCTGTCTGTAAAGAATTCCGCAATGACGAATCCGAATCTGCAGAGCGTGCTGCCTTCATCCTAACCGTCTTATCAGATTTTCCATGAGTCTGAGCAACCACAAAAAAGCGTAAGCTACTTCCTGTAAACTTCTCATTATCCCGTGAAAGGCAGTCTTAGTTATGCACATCGTGTTAATCAAACTATTTTTGTTGTTTTTGAGCTTGGTGATGCAAATATGGTGGGTAAATTTAAAAAATAAACAAATTTCGTTCAAAATCTTTTGGTGTTCGCTCGAATAGTAGTTAGAATCACAACCTTCAATCCATAGTTCTTACATAGCGTAAGTTTGGTACTTTTTAAATGTTTCTTTTTCAACTATTGAACTACTTTTGATAACATTTTGCATAGAATAAACAAAATGCAACGCTATGCAGTTTTGGCATCTCTAGATGCTTCCCAAAATTTTGAAATTATTCTCTCGACGTATCAAATTCCATATTTGGGCATCTCAATCCTCATAGAAGATATATACACAGTAGACGGCGAGCAGCAGGTTGTCATTTAATGCAGCTTTTTCTCCTCTCTCTGAAAGACTTCCTCTCTTCCTGGTTCATGCGATATTTGAGGATAAAATCATTGTGATCCTTGTTTCTAGTCGCGTTCCAGGTTGTACCAGAAAATTCGAAATCTATGTAATATACGACCCGCTAAACCCTCAGTTGCTAATTAGTATTCTGTCATAAGCTGTTTCTGGACGCTTAAAAATCGAAGACATAAAAGCGTTTGAAGCTGTTGTGTATTTCACGACTTCATTCTTAAAAATACTGGGAACCCAGTTGAAGAGGCGAAATGGCACATTGTATTGCGCTCTGTTTACTCTATCTAGCTGTCGTCAAAGCTTTTCCAGAAATCTGAGTCGAAAAATTTTTAAAAACAGCTGAAATTAGGGTTGGTAAAAGCTATGGTTTGGAGACTCTGAGGATTGTTTGAACGATCATCAAAGTGCTTAAAGCCAAAACATTAGCATTGAAAAGGGGAGGAATTGTAAATCATTGTTTAGAGCGTTTGTCTATCAGTGATCTGAGTATTTTGAGCATGGGCCTGAAAAACGGCGGGAACTTTCGAACCGGGCTAATAATAAATACATTTGTGACATTTGATGAATGCTGAATTTTTTTCTTATAGAATCAAGTCCCTGTAACCCATGTGTATGTCCGTCACTCGATTGAGACATCTTTTCTAAAAATGATGCTTTCATCTCATTAGTATTTTTTCTAAACATAGACGCATGATAGGCTTCACTATGTAAAGAGAATACTGAAAGATCTTTTACGGAGTGAGTCTACATAACTCTGTAATCTCGACGTCCACTCTATATGATGTCATCGACGCTCGAATTACTTTCACTCATTTGTAATTCATGAGTATGTACAAAACAAGATATTCTAATGAGCTTTTTCATTGACTTATTGACTCGCGAGAGTCAGTGCTTGAAGTTTCTAGGACAGACTTACAAATTTAGTCAAGGTGCCTTGCTCAGCTAAGATATTTAGGTAGATTTGAGAGCATGAAACACTGACGCTAGATCTTTAGGTCGTCCCGAAAGCTCTTTCGCACCATATTCAAAAATTCATAACTTCTGATTTTTCCGACCGATGTGACTCCTTTTATTGAAGATGAAAGAGTAAGTCATGCTCTTTATAATGACATCTTAGCTGCTTACTAATGATCATCCGTTGCATATACAGGAGTGGTAGGGCAATTCTGATATATTTTGGCATTTTTCTCGTTGATCGTAACTTTTGATAGAGACGTTCAATCTGCACAAGCTTTGCACAGTTAGAAAGGTAATAGAGCCTATAATACCAACTGCTCAAATTTTTACTGCAAGTTTCGTATTTTTTATGAGATTACACAGAAAATTCGAATTTAGACTAATTTTTTCTACCGCTCTTGTTTATGCAAAAGATCAGTGGTAAGCAGCTACGATGTCATTATAAAGAGCATGACTAGCTCTTCCTTTCAAATATAAAAGGAGTCAAATCGGTTGGAAAAATCAGAAGTTATGAATTTTTGAATTGGGTGCGAAACAACTTTCGGGTCCACGTAATATATTCCCTAACTGCGGAAAGGCTCTGTGTGACGAGTTACGAACGTTTTTTGGAGAAATAAGTTGAACGTGTAATTAGAAAAAATTTTTATTCGCGGATTTTCTAGCGCTCCACTTCAGAAGTAATAATTTCAAGCGCGGTTTTATTAGAAAAGTTTATTTTATGGAGGCCATACTCATAAGTGTCCTAGTTGAACGCATGCGAGACTGTGATTGCTCCACTAGCCGCTCGTTTGCATTTCTAATTTCCTATTTGTTGATTTTTTTAAAATTTTCGTATCGATCGCACCTAGACGTTCTGCAGATTATAAAATACAGTTTTAAAACGAGACGATAGGTTACTCTTTTCTTATTACTTCCTGCTGTTGGAGAACATAAGCTGTATCAGGCTGCTGCATAGATTTTGTCCGATTTGAATTTTCGAAATCAAAATATCATAACTTCTTTCGAATTAACTTCTTTCATAATCTTAGTTTCTATGTGGTGTGCAATTCTTTAGCTATCAGAGGTATACTAGTTCTCAGCGTTCTTCTTCAAACCTCTCTTTTTTGACATGCAGTGCTCCCTTATAAACTGACAGGCACATTAAGTAGCCATGGGTAGATAGAGAAAATTTCAAAGAATATTCTACAGCCTAAAAGTGCCCGTAGGATCTTCAGTGCCGAGAGATTTTCTTGACCGAATAAAAACGAAGCCGATTTTCGGCCTCGTTTAGTACATGTATGCTTACCAATTTTCAAAATATGAAAATTTTACCAAGGCCGCGAGGGGTGGAAAGTAACTGGTGGCCGGGCTCTACTAGCTCTTACTTTACTCTAACTCCTCCAGCATTAGAATCATCGATCGCATCTATTCACAGAAAAAAATTGCTTGTAGAATTTTGTACGAATGATTTCTCTTCAATGACAAATTTTACTAGCTAGATGTTTTCACATGAAAGTGATTTGTGCACATACTGGAGTGTTCCACCTTATTCCGTGACCAATAGAAGGATCTTGAAGAGCATACGGTGGAGATTTTCTCGCAAGAACGCTTTCTTTGCTGAGAACGTGTCTCGACCATCTGGGGATTATAGGTCTACAATCTCGTCAGACTGGGAATTTTATTGAAATATGAGATGTGTTAGAAAAAGCTAGAAAAGAGCTTTCTAGTATTACAAACAATATCGCATTACGAATGAAAATCACTTAGAACGGCTACCGCGGCAATGCAAAAAATCGGACAGAACTCGTGCAGCAGCATAATACATATATAACAGTGTATAACACTGGGCACTGCTCTTGGTTTTGTGCTACACAACTTTTAAGGGGCTCATTTGCTATGCAGAAGATCATACATGTAAAATATTGTCTATCATCTTCCATTCACGCGCTTTGAAATTCTACCCCATACCGAGGTGTCTCACATCGAAAGCTCTTCCTAAAGAAGTAGAATCGCCCTGATGATGAAAGATTTCGAATGCATGGGTTCGAAAGCTATGCGAGAAGTTTGGCGTTGCAGGCTTCGTAAAGTCAACTATATCTGCTTTCTTGGTTCAAATGGTAGCTCCCTTTGCCATCAACATCACTCATTCCATGGCTCTTTGTGGCACCTCATTTTTACAGTACTGACATAATCGTCTAAATGAAGTGTTTTGATCGTTCCCTTCCTGCACACGAAAGCAAATGCTTTTCGGAATTTATCTAAGGACAGCTGGTAGCCAAGGCAATTCTTGCTCTATATCCGTAAAGCTTTTTTTGCGTGGAAGAAATGAACCTCCAACGGCAAGCGATGACGAAGAACCGAATAACTAACGAGATGCAGGGACGAAAGTTTCAGAGTTTCAAAAAGGAAATTTGAAAGGGGTATAACATTTCTAAAGGCTAGTTGCAATATAAAACGACTTCGTCGCGCCATACTAAATAGTGTCATTTGTATTTTGAGCTTGGAGAACAACCTATTCATACGTAATAAGGCTGAAATATCTGGTTGACCATTAAGATACATCGGCGGATTCACATGCTTCTATATAATATTAAGAATTATTAATGCGCTTATCTCAATTACTTTGAATCCAAAGCTTTGTACTCCACCATTATTTCAATGTGGGTGCATTTGGCAGTAATCAACTACTAATCTTTGAAGAAATCTTTTTTCTGTGTAGTGAATAATGAAATCAATCAATACCTAAGTTTTTGAATTTTTTTCTTTCTTTTTTCAATTTTTTTCTCCCCCACGGTCATTGGCGTGGGTGCTGATATAAATGCTCGCTCATCAGAAGGACTGCGTTCATGCGCACTTACACAGTTTGGCTCTGTTGGAGTTTCCTTTTCATTTTCAAAGGACATCTGGTGTTTGTCAAGCCCTCGCTTCTATCTCACGTGACTCGAAACGCCTAATTAAGCTTTTCTTTTTTCATTCTGACATTTGTTTCGATCAATGTCTAAAAGGCGATTACTCACAAAAATTCCTCTTCCTCTTTCCTCGTTTGCCTTATAAGGTTCGCTTCATTTACCCATTTTGTCGAGAGCATTTTTCCGCTTACTCTGAATGCACTCGTTATTTAGATGTTTCGGCTCGTTTCTTCACTATAGAGTAGCGTGTGTCTGTGAGTGTGCGCACTAACCGAATTTATGCGATCTCTCTTCTTGGCAGAGCTTCTGCTACTCTTTTTAACTCATTGTGCTTCAGTTCGACATGGCTGCCGATGTTGTTGATGCGAACATTGTAGAGCAGTCACCGTTTAACGACCTTGGCTGGCGTGAATGGCTTAATAATGCCAGGTCGGTCTCAGATAAGCTCAAATTTTTCATGGACATGCAGCTGGTCTCACCACTTATGCTCAAAAACGATATTAGATACCAGTAGAGGTCCGAGTAATTTTTTGGGGTGGGGGAATGTAGGGAGGGAGTGTGACAAAATTTTTTATAAAAGTGGCAGTAATCACGCCTTCCAAAAATATTTTTTTGGGATAGGGATAAGATTTTGAAAAGGAGGGGTCTTGCTGGTTGGTTCGCAAAGCTGATCTCAGATTTTTACAATGTTTGGAAACTATTTTAGTCCTTTACAAGTAAAAATATGTCCTAAGCATACTGATAAATAGCTATAAGAGTCGGAGAAATGTGAAAGGAGAAAGAAAGAGGTGCAATTCGAATCCCTGGTATGTTAGCTAAATTTTTCAAAAGCTCATAACTTTCGAAGAATGAATATTCTCTAGATTCTATAAAAACGCACTTAACTTCCTAGAAAATTTTCTTGGGCATTGGCCATCCTTAGGGTTTATTTAGAAAGACAATGTGAAGATTAATCAATCTCAAAACTTTCCGCTGTTTATAAGTTCACTCACTTGCGCGATTTCAAAACCCATATAGACCCCTAAAGTAAAAATTGCGTTACCTCTCCGGATGGGGCGCCTCTCTTTTCCCCCAGCCCCTGCTTTAAGCGCAGCAGATTTTAAATCATTTGGTATAGTTATCATACTGATATGAAAATTCAATAGTACCCTAATTTCACGCGTATAAGGCACACTTTTTCGAATTTTTAAGCGGCCGCTCAGCCGGTTCACTGCATCCCGGAAAAAAATCCTTACATTGCACGATTCTCTCAAGCAATACACAACGCGTTATAGGGTCCTTTGATTGTAAAGTCCTTTGGCCTGTCTAGGTTGGTCGATTTTGGAAAAAAAATCCCCCGCGCCTTATACGCGTGAAATTAGGGTAATTGCTTGGTACTTTTCTTTGCAAATCAAAATAAGAACCACAATGATGAGGAACAATACATTTTTTCTCTTTCTATCCGTTTAATTTTTTCTATTGTGATTCAAAATACCCAAACTGCAATTCCACCCCATGCGAGCAAATTTAGGAAAATCAAGTTTTTATCGAAACGAATGTAATCCTTCCGATTTCTCTAGAAATTAGTGCATGTGAATGTTCGCTAAAGCTTTGTTAATGGAAACGTTTCAGCTAATCCCATTCACATTCCTCATGAGGATCTAATTTCCTGTGAATCTGTAATGAAAAGTATTCTCCGCCGGCTCAAGAAGTTATGCACGGTTACAAGATTCAAAGGGAGTAAAAGTGGCAAAACTTATATCAAAACTACGGTTACTGCTATGAGTTTATGAGGCCCATCCATGCGGAAAATGAGATGTTGCACCTAAAATAAATAAACCAATAATTTTGGAACAGAAGTGAAAGCTAAGGAAGTGTCATATTTGGCAATTGCACTTTTTACATTTCAGCTGCGTTCTCGTCGTTTACGTTGAGCCACTACTGTGTTCCATTGGTTTTCTTCTGAACTGCGCCTGCATCGCAGTTTTTCTGAGGTTCGCATTTATTTTTGCTTCGAGTTTGCATCTTATTGCAATTTTCAATCAATATTTCCATATCTGAGTTAAAGATTCTTTGTTGCAGCGTTTCAAGTCACGGGTATTTTCGCAAGACGAGCCTTCTCTTCTACCTTGTTGCTCTTTCGATATGCAATGCACTTCAGCTTCTTCTATCAATCTTTGTCATTGTTCTGCCGGCTATGGAGCAGGTATGATATTTCTCAGTGTCTTAATGGAACGCTCGCGTGAACAGAATGCATTCAACGCAACATCGTAAATAATAGTGCATCCAAAACCATTTAGAGGACATGTATGTGAGAAATGAAGAATGTAAGACTTCCAAAAATGGTATAGCCAGGGCAATCGAAATAAGCTGAAGAACGTATTTGGTTAGGTTTTTGCTTTGAAACGGTGGCATGATATAGATCATGGGAATGTCTAAGACAACTGTGTTCAAGATGCGATCACGTTTGATTGACGGTGTAAGAAACGAGATTTTTCAAAAAAAAATTGGATTCGGATAAAAATCTACGGATTGCAGGGTTTTGGCACCTGAACCAGTCAACCAGGCTGAAAAAAAAGAAAAAAATTATTAGAATCCCAGCCATTTGTCCCTTTCCTTAGTGAAAAAATCTATATTTCCTTCGGAAACTGCTCAGGAAAGGAAAACCCGTAGATCCTGAGTTTATCGCTGATTATCGTGTATAAGTTAGCGCACTACCTCACATTCGCAACAGTTGCCTATCTCAATGTTTTATTGATTCCGTGGAGATTCCTAAAAATCATTTAATGCATGCATCAGCTCTGATCCTGGTTCTTTAAACAAAGCGTTCTAACAATATACCAAGCACATCATATAGTGTTGTGCTGGTGCAAACTTAAAGCGCGTTCTAGGCCTTTTTTTCCGGACAACATTTTCTCATAGAATTTTCCTTTTCGAACAAGGATTTGCATTTCTATACGCTTCTGGACTTAGCTGTTGAAATCTTGCAAAACTCCGCACAGCCTTACTCAAAGTCAAATTGCGTTTACTTTTTTGGCTAGGATGAAGCATAACTGAATGGGCTCTTGTGAAAAGATAAATGCTATATGTAATGGAAATTGTCTAAATAATGTTTGGTATATTATATATTCCTATCGTTTAGACTGAGAAATTGACGTTCCAGAACTTTCATATTATTAGTGTGCTTTTGTTTTCGTATCATATTGTAACGCCACGTGTGGAGGACTATATGTCGCCGAAAAAGGGCGGTCCCCGCGGTCATTTGCGACAAATACGCACCCTTGTACGTGCGCGGACATGCGTTCCTGCAGGGAATCCGCGCGAGACTCTTCCAAATTCGGCGACATATAGTCCTACACCCTAACGCCACACCTTCGTGATTTTGTGCAAAGTTTACAACGCGGCCTTTGATGAAGCTATTATATGTGTCAATTCTGGCCCATGATAATGCGTTTATTATTTTTACATACTCTTGGCTGCTCTGCCCACTTATAGTGATCCCAAGCCAAAGGATAGCATGACAAAGGCGGTCGCCCAAATAGGTTGAGGGCTGTTGCGCACGCGGCGCGCGGGCGATTGTCAGCCACGGGGTGCGCGCACGCTCCAATGGATGACCGACCGCGTGCGCGCGCCTTGTGGTTGACGATTGCCCGCGCGGCGCGTTCGCGACAGCCTTCAGCCTATCAGGGCGGCCGCCTTCGTCATGCAGCAGATATTACCTAGGGTGTACTATGATGTATTTATATTACATGTAATAAATATAAATATTTTAGGTACTTCAGCCATATTATGGCACAAAATTTTTTTAGAAGGCATCGTTCGACGTTCGCATCGTTCAAGTTGGACTCCTTTTTGTAAGCATGAGAGCTGGATATCTCGTCAAAATCTTTCACAAAAAACTAACGGTTCAGTGTACAAAAATTGAAAAATTGTAACATTCTGAACTTCTGGGGCTATTATACAGGGTGTCTCAAAAGTATGTATACACTGTTTGATCGTAAATATCTCTCTTCCCCTAGAGTCTTCTGCCTACCTTCAGATACCATGTAGAGCTGGCTTCAATTCAGATCAATAGTATGGAGCAACTCACCGATCATTCTTCATTATTGTAGAATTACGGTAGGAACTTCAAAAAGCGTTTTGAGCCATTACGGTTTTGTTTTGCCTCAGAAAGCAAACCAAACAACCTAGAAACTTTTTCACTAGGCTAATTAAAGTCGCTGAAACCAAATACGAACTCTGCAACCGCGATGCTTCCTTCATAAGTTATGGCAGGTAAACCGCAATAACTGTCATTACTTTACAACGCTCCCTAAAATTGTTGTTACATCCATTGAAAAGCTTTACAAACTCCTGAAAAGTTAAGTAATGAAATTAGGGCGCGTAGTATCCCTGATACACCACTTTTCTGAATTTTTAAAACTTCTCTTTGAAACACGATTGGTCCAAAGGACGCTGTAAGCCGAAAGTTCATACCGTAATCGTACAGTAATGATGAACGATAGGTGGCTTTATATTGTAAATCTAATTTGAAGCCAGCTCTACAAAATGGTTCCTGAAATCCAAAAAATTTCTAGGGAAAAGAGATATCAATGAAACAGTTTTACATACTTTTGGACACTCTGTAGATAGGCAAAAAATGTTAATAGTTTTGAATTCTTATTTTTATTATATTTTCCGTGGTCTCTTTTTTCCAGGCCTTCTTTATTCGCATTTATACTATTGGCTCGCGGTTGTAAGATAGTATTATCTTACAGCCGATACAGTATATCTTACAGCAGCTCAATTTAAAAAAAGATATTGTCAAATTTTGAACGGACTATGATTTGTAAAAACGCGGTTCTAGAAAGAAAGTGATATTCAGTCCAAATCTTGTTCAAGGTTGCAATAATTTGTGAAAGGATTACTGCAACTGATGGTTCTTACTGCATTCGAAAATACAGGGTTCTGACTAAACATAGCTCGTTAAAGTGAATCTTGCAAAACACGTATTATTTTTGCATCAGCTTGATACTAGTGTGTTTCGGAGCTTTCTTGGACAGATTGCCTACGCTCTGGCTTCTCACTTTCCCCTAATAAGGCCGCTACTATGATTATTTAGTGAACTATAATCTAATTATGTAAGCTCACAATAAGGAAGTTTTCAAAAATAAAAGCGATTTCTTTTTATAACAAGGTGATTTTTTCCTTAATGCTTGTTTGATCTTCTATAGTTTTTTTTTGGTGAGAGCAAAATATTTGCTTGAGGCATGAGACGCGTATGCTTCTTAGCGAACAAGAAGAGAAATTGCTAAAATGCACTTCTGCTTATCTAATTAACAGTTGATCCGCTCCTGTCAGTCTCTCAAGATTGAGAGGGCAGAAAAACGAGGAAGGCGAGCTGAAAAGAAGAAATGTGTGATTGCCCATTCCCATTCTTCCAGTGGTAATCACATCTGCATTTGTTCGAGGAAATGAGTGTCTTGGACTGTGAAATTACGAAGATAAAATTCACAAAATTCGTCGAGCGAGCTATGAGAATGGCGCTAGCCACGCCATCCGTAAACGTTCTTTTGAGTAAAATAACTTTGCATGGTTGATTTCATCATGTAATAATTTCACATGATATTTCAACTAATCAAAAATATCAACGAGTAACTTGCGCTATTATATAATCCACGTAGGTCAATTTGAAAAATTTTATGTACCGATCTCGGGACAGAGATTGCCCTCAGATTTGTAGGTAAATCAGGTTAGCTAGAAAAACATGCATATATGGATAATTAATAACTCTCAAATTTATTTTTGATTCTTTGCAACTCAAGGAATTCCACTGAGCAATATTGCAGTTTGTTGGGAACGATTTCCCTCGAGAGGCGGCTAATCTTCACCAAATAAACGCGATCACTGTCAGACTCGGATACCCTTTGATGCTGGCTGCCAATTACGCCGCCATCTGGCTTCTTACATTGATTTGTGCTCAAAGATTTCAGGTGAATTTTGGTTTTGTTAGATCCACTTCATACCGTACCTTGCTGGAGGTGATCACAAATGAAGTGTTTGTAGGCAATCTGTCACCCATCCAATCCATGGAAATTACGACTGACGTGTGTACGTAGAAGCAAAGGAGCTGTCACACTCGTAGTGGGGGCAGCTATAGGTATCACATTAATCTCCACAATTCTTACGTAATCAGCTTTCTTGATTTAGGACTCAACATAATCCGCTTCTGGGAAATGGAATGGCATGCAGATGACGGCGGCATTGTCAGCTCAGGACTTCGGTATGTTAACTACTCTTTATTAACACACCTCGCTTTTTCATGCCCGCTCAACCGTGCACGAAGCGTTGCTTATGCGAGTGTGCAGACTTATTGAATTCCAGTCACGAATGTATGTAAAAATATGCCGACCTGAATTCTGAGAATGTGAATTTACGAGCTCATGCTACCCAAAACAAATTTGTTCTGAAAGCATATAGTTATGTAACGATATCAAAATAGTTTCAGAACAAAATCATTCATTTTGTAATTTCATGTGAAATAAATGGTGCACTAGCAGTACTCCATGCTTCACCTACCATATCGCCTTACCCTGTAAAATTGACTAGACAAACTCATGATGTCAGTTTGAATTTGAAAGTTGCCCGGATATTAAAGTAATGACGACTCAGACAAATATCAGAAAAACGACAATATGTTTTTTATGATGATTTGAAGTTATTTAAAATGAGATGCTGCGTTTTTCTGTAACAAGCTGCAATACATCCCATATCAAAATTTTGGAACAACATTTGAACATGGGTGTCTGCCAGTGGCGGTCCCAGGATTTGGACCGGGGAGGGGGCGCGACAAAATTTTTGGTGCTTTTCCGTTATCCGGACCCATTTTTTCAAAAGGCTCTCATACTATATGTTCTTTAGTCAAAGGATAATTTTTCATAGACTCTACGAGGACTGCCTCCTTGCCACGTGTCACAAAAAAATTGACACGTTTTAGACGATTGTGACAGGTTTTTTCGAAATCATTTCCGGTGAGGTAAAAGAAATTTTGTGATCATTCTAAAGCTGCTCAGCTGCTTTACATAAGCACAAAACGATCATGAACTTATTCTGAAACATCTTGCTTGCTTTTAACACTGATTCAAAAGCGTATTTCTCTTCAATTCCTTTTCCCCATGCGAATTTAGCTGAAAAAACTATAAATGATAGCCTGAAGTGCCTGGCTGCTGCTTATTTCGCTTCTCAAATAACGGAAATCTAGCGCACTTCTCTATCCCGAGCGAGTCTAAATCTGTTCATCGATGATGGTATGTTGTTGTTATTATGACAATGTTCACTTTAAAACTGTTTGATCGAAATGAGGTCAAAATTTACTAAAAAACAGAATGAACTTACATCGCTAGCTAGGGTAACACAAACTCTTGGTTAAAACCTGTTAAACATGTAGATGACATGTCAAATTTTTTTAACACGTGGCAGAAGGTTGACACTCCTTTCTGTGAAGCTGGGACAAAATATGGTACAAGGATAGAAGCAATATCCTTCTTTGAAAAAATGGGTCCGGATAACGGAAAAGTACCAAATTTTTTTCAAATGAAGGTGCGTGGCTTTAGCCATGCACTCCGAGAAATTTTTTGGGGTGCTTCTCAAACTTTTTGCGGGTCCTCAACCCCAAAAATGTGGAAAAAAGGGGCGTGGCGTCGCCCCAAAAATTTTTTTTATAAGGCTAATTTGAATTTTCGAAAAATTTTAAAAATTATTTTAATTATTTACAAAAATAAACAAGTCGTTTGCACACTTTTATAACCCATATAGGTAAGTTTCAAAAATTTCGCGACCCATTCTCGGGGGGGGGGGGGGGGAGGGCGCGGTTGGTTGCGTGAATACCTCTGAGTCAAAGAATTTTGAAACCCATGAACTGCTGCTTGCATTATCAATGTAAAACTCCAATGGATGCAATAGTAATCAAAATATTCTTTCAGAGATGATCTTCTCTACAAGGTTATACAAGAAGGCATTGTCTACGGCCTCATAGTGTATGGTCTACCTATATGTCTCCTCCTGTGGTTAAATCTAAACATAATCCGTCTAATCAAAGGAGAACAGGTTGGTCAGCTTACCCCATGCATAAATCGACGTGGAACCTAGTAAACACAATTGCTGATTCCTTTTTCAGCTTCATGTGCAAGCATCACGCCGATCAGCTGAGTACCGCACAGCTCTAATGACAGTGTTCGTGTTCGTCTTCTTCTTTTTATGCACAACCCTTTCGGCGTCAATAAGACTCTTCATGTAAGCGCTTTCGATTCTAACACTTAATCAGCTGAAACAAGAAGCCATAGCTATTTCAGGATAACTGCTGGAGGACTAGTGGATCCTCTAGAGCTCGTATGGCTGGTCGATCTTTCAAATCTTTTAATGAACATCAATGCGCTGATAACTCCAGTTATTTGTTTTATTTTTACCAGAGGATTCAAGGTAATTTAAAGCATAATCTCCACCAATTCTAGATGCTTGCTAATACGTCATCTTTTAGGATCTTTTCTTTGTCATCAGATTTGCCCCACCAAAAGGTTCTTTTGACGAAAAGGACTTCAATCGACAGTTTTCTCCCATGCTAGCATCAGAGTATCGCAATATTTCGTAGTCTTACTTGTTGTTATCATCATTAATACCACTCAATGGCAAGAATTGTGATCTCATGTAACGTGCATAAATTTCTGCTTATAGAGCTGTTATCTGATTACTGTATCGGCTGATTATGACCTGCGTTCCGTTATCCCGCTGAAGGACGCGAATTTGCCATTACCTCGAGCTTAACTTGCTGCAAAAATTGTGCACATAAACCTGTACTTATGCTGCCTTGTAAAAGCGGTGTGCTAAAGATATCTCATCACATCATACATCATCAAGCCAGTTTTTTATGAGATATTTCGAGTGAAGGAAAAGCCAAAGAAATGCACATTGGCGTCGGAGTAGCGCGAGCAGTGGATCAGGGTTGGTGGAAGGTTACATTGAAGCCTCGTACTCTGTACTATTACATTACTATTAGACCAGAATTAGACATATTTTGACCCAAAAGCCGACAAAAACTCTCCCGCATAAACTTCCAGATCCACAATTTGCTAAATAACTACACAAAGGCTTCAAAAAATCTGATTTTTTTCTTGCTTAGAAGGTCCCTTGAAAGTTCAGAGTAACTGATAGAGTTTGTCTTGCGCATGTGGTATCTGGACTATGGAGTATGAATACAGTACAGCTTATAAAATCTCATAGCAATGCAAAATAGCTCAAACCACACGATAATACGACGTGCAAGTGTTACCCGCAGCCATCGCCTAAGCTGAGCTACAATAAACGGACCATCGTATCCGGAACTTCCTGCTAGAGGTTTCAGGGGAGCTTTGCACCTTCATGGGCTGAGTTGAAGCACGAGGGGTGAAGTTGCTGCGAACTACTAATAAAGTATATCGACCAGCATCGCTGAGAATTCGCTAGGCTGTTCAAAAGTTCTGTCGATTTTTAGTTGCCTTGTGTATAACGTGGCTACTTTCTAAGAGATTTGCATCTATTTCAAAATAATGTGTAGCTCTTTCCAATGCTTACTATGTCTTGTTAAAATATTTCCCAATTTCAAAATTTTCAAGACCCAAAGCACCAGTTGCCAAAGGGTGCGTGGCGTTAGGTACCCAGCCGAGGTGCGGGCGTTAGGTACCCAGCTATTAGTGGTATACACTAGGCCACGCCCCTTGGTTGCTTTAACAGCGGGTACCTAACGATACACCGAATCACAGCTGCTAGAACAGCTCAACTTGCTCGCTAAAGCTCTGGCGCTTGCGACCCACGTAAAAAAGATAGTTGGAGGATATCCAAAAAGAAAAATTGCGCGAATAAAAGCGCAAGTTTGTACAAGCTTATTGCTTGTTTTCTTAACAACTTTAGAATCACAGAAATTTGGTGGTGAAATCTGAAAGAAGGGTAAAGCTTTTATGAGCACATAAAGTTTTGCAAAAGAGTTTGTGATAATCTGATCTAACCGATAATGTCAGCGCGAATTTCAAAAAAGTAAACTTTGTAGATTTCCAATAAACAAAAGTGATTCTAATGAAGCAAAACGCACTTTCGGAGATGCCCCTGGCAAACAAATTACAAGAAATATTTCTTAGCCTCAAGAGACTGCTTCAAATATATTCTTGACAATGGGAAGTGAAACCGATTGGCAGAAAAGCTTCGACGAGAACTTCATCGGAACTTTATGGAGAAGTATGTGACCCATTAATTTATAAGTAGGGCACTAGATCTGTTCAAATCAATGAAAATTTACGTTATAAAGCTATGCCAATTTCGGATGAGTGTGTGACAATAGAATGAAACAGAAAGAATAAAGAAACTCTATGAGAGCAGTTATTGACAAAATCTTTCGCTTTTCAGTGAGTTACAAAAAAATTCATAGCTTTAGTTAGATGAATTGATCATATCTTGGCTGTTATAAAAGAGGATTATGAAACAACTGCAATATGAAATTCCTTCATAAAAAGCACTACTGAAAACATATGCATGATAGACTATAGTAGCTCAATGAAATTTTTATACGGGATGTAAAATCTCCCAATATAAAGAAAAAATGTGTGTCAATGTAATGTCCCATAAATCTGTTGGCCCCAGCAATGACCGAGTAATGGCCTTAATAATCTACGATGATGTTGTTCACAGTCCCTGTGGCAATATTAACGCAAAGGTAACGACCCTTAACTTCATACCTCAAAAGAGTCCGACGACAATATGTGTAAAAAATATTCCTGTAACTTATTTGCTAGGAGCATCTCCGAAAGTGCGCTTTGCTTCATTGGAATCATACAATTTTGGTTTGTTACTATTCTACAAAGTTTACTTTTTTGAAATTCCCGTTGACATCATAGTTAGATGGAGGGCGTGCAGGAGTTCCTAGCACCTTTCCTCGCACCAAGTTCGCACCAGCATTCGCACCCAGGAGGGCTCTAGCACCTCCGCGCTTCAGAGGGCAGGTCACGCCCATTGCTCCACCCATTTACTGGTCTCATTGTGAGGTGTGCAAGCAGCGAGCGCACAGACTCAGTATATAAGTAATAAGGGAAGAAAATTGGAGAAAAAACGAAGAACGTAATTAATCATTTCTCAAGTGAAACTTCTGCTACACCATTATTTCAAAATGAGCAGGTGAACATCATTTCCAGAAGATAAATTGCACAGAATTTTTTGTATGAAACCCAGTCATTCGAAATATCAGAGAATCTATTTGATCAATTATAAATTCCTGGTCATTTGATTGAAATAATTTAGCATCAGGAGTTAAATAATGAGTGACTATGAGTGGTGTAGAACTCTATTACCCTATATTAGAACTATCTATTTGGAAAGGAGTATATAAAAGTTCTCGAATAAGCAACTCAACGCTTTTCACAGTAGTCAGGATATTGAACATATATACTTTCCTACTTTCGTCTGCCATCATAAATGTTTAATGAGTTTTTCATTCCAGTTACTTCAATGATCAGTAAGATTGTGATTATCAAAAACCAGTATATAGGTTATTTCCATGTACTAAAATACCAGACTTCTGGCTCATGTTTGATTGAAGAGTTGGCCAAGAGTTCCAATTACAACACTAAATTTGCAAGTTATTTTTATTTGCTATAATTCTTAAATGAACTTTAAACTTGCGTGTAATTGACTAACTTCTCTGTTTTTATACTATGATTGGAAGAATCATAACATCTGCTTGATTTATATTAACACGATGTGTTTTACAAATTTACTCTAGCGCGAGCACCTACAAAATTTTGAGAAAGCGTCATTTTATCCGAAAACGTGAGTGAAAGCTAGCTCGAAATGCTGGAAAGTTAGTTGCAGTCATGTACGAATCCTAAATTCTTAGTCTGAGCGACTTTTTTGTTTCTCGATTCCAGTGCTGTCATCTTCAAAAACAATACACGTCTTATAGTGCGTGTACACATTCATACCGAGGGCAGCTAGAGGGAGTGATGGGCGGATCCGCCCTTTGCCCCCGAAAAGGTGTGATGTTCTCTAAGTGATTTCTGGAGGTGTCAAGTACCCCTGCGAGGAAAAGCGGCTAGGCTTTGGGAACTCCTGCCACGCCGCCTAGTTAGATCATATTTTCACAATTTCTTTCGTAAAATTTTATGAAGGGCTCATAGAAGCTTAACCCTGTATTTAACTTTCATCACCGACATTCTGTGTTCTAAAATTGGTTGAAATAAGAAGCAATAGGGAACACTTTGTATACAAACTTGTTTTCATTCGCGCAATTTTTCTTTTTGGATATCCTCCAACTATCTTTTTTATGTGGGTCGCAAGCGCCAGAGCTTTAGCGAGCAAGTTGAGCTGTTCTAGCAGCTGTGATTCGGTGTATCGTTAGGTACCCGCTGTTAAAGCAACCAAGAGGCGTGGCCTAGTGTATACCACTAATAGCTGGGTACCTAACTCCCGCACCTCGGCTGGGTACCTAACGCCCGCCCCCCGTTGCCAAATTGTAGTCATGCTAAAAAAACATTTCATAAGAGTGCCTAACTGAGGCTAAAAATGATCAGAGAGCATGCTCGCGAGGGAGGCGCAGACTGCGTGGCAGACGCGAGCAGTCGCCTCCTAGGTCGTGAAGCTCCGCCTTTTACCGCCGATCTGGTTGAAGCAAAGGGTAGCGATTCCACAAGCGACAGCTGTTAACGATATTGAGAACCGATGTCAATTATGGTGAGTACCACCATGCAAGAGCACTCCTTAATGGCAAACTCCGCTCACTGCCAAAAGTGCTCCAATTTGCACTATTTCAAGATTTCGTGCATTTTTTCGCTTTTTTTGCTCAAGCGGGGGGGGGGGGGAGCTTGCCATAAGGGGCGGAGCTTGCATATGTACACTGCATGAATGCATTCATAAGCACATACACCCTATATACATGCTCATAACGTCTCGTTCCACGATGACATGGAAATGGGCTGTCGTCAATGTGTTTAGTCTCACACGCATACTGGCACCGACTGAGGCCTTTATATTAACCAGGTCGGCTGTAGCGAAGGGGTAGAGTAGGCTGTGGTGAAAACTCAACAGCGTTCGATGAGGAGGCTTTGTAAGAGTGCTCAGGTAGGCCTTGTTTTCAACCTGCGGCTAGCGGGCGCAGTGAGGAGCGGGAAGAGAGGATTAGGCCGTGTTCAGGCATTAGACAGAAAAAAAATACTGTTTATGGAAGCTCTAGAGACTTTGATGAGATGGAATCTATGTATTCAAGAAAGTGAAAAAAAATCTCTTCTGAGAATGCTTTGGAGAAGTGATAGAATCGGGCGCTTATCGTTTTGAGGTGTTTCAAAAAGCAAGCTCAAAGCCCATTGATTGGAAACTTCAAAAAATGAAAAAATTGTGCCAAATTGACCGTAGAACATTGATCAGGGGATTTGAGGCATGATCCGTAATGCTGAGGATGGAGAAGCTGCGGATATTTCGAAAACGCTTTGAGGAAAAGAGGAAGAGTGAACACCTCAACTATTGCAACCTTACAACAGACAACATAAAGGCAGCGTCTAGGCAGACTCTCGACTCCCATGTTTTCGCCTTTCTCGAGCCTTTCATGGCCCAGACCCAAATGTAAAGGGCAAATTGCTTGAAAACCCCAAAAACCCCTATTTGGATACCAATTTTTAGAAACAAGGACAAGTATTTCGGCGTCAGTTTTGCGGCTTTCCATCTGAAAGCATGAGTTACAATAGATAAATGGTGTGCAGTAATACTTGAAAGTAGCTGCACATCCTATGAGCTAGTCTGCAGGAGCAGAAAGAGCTCAGAGGAGCAGCTTCAGGATCGTATTTGGGGTGAATGTCGCATCGGCCGAGCGTGCTTGTGATATGCTTCAGTTAAGAAGGCATCTATCCGACGTATTAGGTCGTTCCATAAGTTCGTAGCGTTTTCATTTTCGTCCTCACTTCTTTGGGGAACGGTTGATATGTGGCAAGTTGCTATATCAATATAAGGGCTGATTATGCTTTTCAATATGTACCTACTAATTCGAGCGGAAAGCTGATCTACTCGGATCTCTTGGCTTCCGTATGGAGATCTTAGAAGGCAAAAGGAGCAATTCTGACATCTGCGCTTTTTTTCTCATTAAAAGAAGCGTTTTTGCACAGATTTTTGCCGATAATGGAACATGGCCTTCGCCAATCAATATGAGAAGAAAAATGTTTGGATTGCTACAAAAGACGAAGGGCTGAGCAGGGTGTCCCTGAACAAGACTTTTCGGGAGATGGGCAGGACGTCGAAAACCTTATAAATGGTGCATGTTTTAATTTCAGTGAGTAATTTGAGCGCTGGTTAGATGACTTTTTTGGGACCCGGCGAGCTGCCGTTTGAAAAATTGAGATTGGAAAGCAGACAGGAATGTGGCAGAAGTTCGTGCGCTACGTTGAAGAATACATTATTGGCTGATTTTTAGTGAAAATTGATGATTTTGTTGGTTTATGAAAACGCTACGAACTTATGAAACTACCTAATATTAACAGCTTAGACGCCAATTTGCCCGAACGCTGCAATTGCAAAGTGCGGTTTGGTGACTATGAAGCTTTTGGTTAAAAGTGTTAAATATGGCGAACACGAAGTTTTCTGACTGGGTAAAGTAAAGTTTATGAAAAGAGGAGACAGGTTTTTCGATTGAGAAAGATTTGAAGGAAGACAAAGAATTGTCAACGCGTTTTGCAAAAAGTTAAGTTGTACCTCGTATCAGAAGAAATTCAAGAAAAAATGGGCGTCTTGGTAACTTTTGAGAAGGAGAGCGTGCTATTCCTTGGGCGTTTAGTATGTATACTTTCAATAGTAAGCCCACAGTCCAAGAAGCATGCTTGACTACAAGCGGGGTTAGAAGTTATCTTGAAAAATTTTTATTTGAGCACTGCTATTGTAATTTGCCGACGCATGCTCATGCTTTTCGTCTTATGACTCAAATAAACTTGATTTTTTACACTAAAAAAAGGGTTGCTAAGTGAAAGAAAGACAAGAGTGTAAATATTTACCTGTCTAAATTATGTCGTCTTTAAAGGCAGTGTCCGGGCAAAAACTCGATTTTGAGATTTTGTGCTTACTTGGGCCTATTCGCTACGCTGAATCCGAAAATGCACATTGTAAAGCGCGAAAATGGCGAAAAACGGCTTTAACACAGGATGGAAATGAGCAGGTGGGCGGGGTCCTCCCCACTGCGAATTCACGTTCCCGGCTTCTGGAGCGACCTTCTTGCTTCCGGTTTCAATTCAATCATTCGCACTTGGCCGGTAGCGATGTTAGGACGGCTAGCGGAATCGAGAAAATCGCTCCGGGAGCTGGGAGCGCGAAATCGCACTGGGGAAAGCCCCGCCCACCTGCGGACTTCCTTCCTGTGTTAGAGCCCTTTTTCGCCGTTTTCGCGCTTTCCAATGTGGATTTTCGGATTCAGCATAGCGAATAGGCCCAGGTAAGCACAAAATCTCAAAATCGAGTTTTTGCCCGGACACTGCCTTTAACGACGGAGAACCAAGAAAAGCAAGAAATCCTGTACTTAACCCTAATGCTTTCTTTTTTTTTCAAACGTGCAGTTGCACAAAGATCTTTCAGTCATGTCATATCATCATGTTTATAGGATTTACAATTAGACGAGTGGAACAGTTCCTTTAAATATTGGGACAGAGATGATGTAGGACCGTGTGATTTTAACTGCAGCATGCGCAATTTAGCTTGTTTGAACACCCGAAAGATTACCCATATATCTTAATCTTGTTGGACACTGTTTCTGACGCGTGACCAGTTGCTCACAGTACTTTAAAGCTGTCAAAAAACGATTCAAGTAAAAAAAGCGCCAGAAAAATAGGTTCCCCCAATTGCATGAATTGACGTTCTAGTAATGATGATGATGATGCTTGTATTGTCAGATATAGGTAAAAATTGCAAGAGTACATGTACAATGTTCATTATCGACTTTGTTATCCATATTGGGAAAACTGCATTCGCTTTTATTCACAAAGTTTCTTATTCACTACTCGATCCATTCACATCAGCAGCATTGTCTTCGACATCGTCTTTCTTATGTAGTGACGGTGGTGGAGGTGGTGGTAGGGTATGGCCGCGGCAATGTTCCGTCTTAAGCCAGACACTTAATCTATTTTTACAAACACCTTGTGGCAACTTACCTCTGCCTCATCCTGCTCCCAGGTGCTGGGATCATCCCAGACGCGAGGTCGAGTATAGATACAACAACAGTTGGACTTCAAACGACCAAGATGTTCGTTATCTAAAAGGGTATTTATATATTTGAAAACTGTCTTGTGTGTATATGTGTGTCTGTGCTTATGATTCGAACGAAAAGTAGCATCCAAAAACAAATTGTTCTACATATTGTGGGGAGTTACCTTTTGAAAGAATATCAAATGCTTTTATCAATATTTAATTCATGACACACTTCAAAGAAGAAGAACAAGAAAACTTATGCAGTGGAACATTAGTTGTTCAAATCGATCTCATTAACCTCCTCTAAAAACTGAATCTTACAAAGGGATTAGTGAGCTACAGTTGTCAAGAACTTTCCAAGACGAGCTGAGCACTTGGTAGAGAAATATCAGGTCGTTCCAAATGTTCCTGCCGTTTCTCAGAACTTTCATTAAAACATGTGAATTAGGCGTGCATCATACTTGATCTGCTTGATCCACTTGATCCGCTTGATCCGCGTTGTAAAAAAACGCGCGCGTGCTAATTTGTCATTTGGCGTCGCGTAGGTAAAAGAGAGTTTTGTATGGTTACGTAATTTTGCTGCCAGGCGCTTTTCAGGAAGCGGATTAAGCGGATCAAGGTGATCAAGAGGATCAGTAGGGCCTGTGACTCAAATGTAGGCAAACGTTTTAAACATTATTCGACGCAGCTTTCAGCAGTGGTTCCAGAACTAGTTGCTCTTGTGGTTTCTTGTGGTCACCGAAGTTTCGTATTTACACTTTTTACCATGTCCAACTTTCGCAATTTTTCAAAATGTTTATTTTAGACTTTTGGACGTATTTGAATAATGGCTGGATAGAGAAAGCAAAAGGCACCGCACTGCTTTTTTCAAGCATTTAGGATGGTTTTCTTGCATTTTTTCAGATGGTTTTCCCAAGTTCCTTATCCTGAGGGGTTTGCGGTCATTCAAACAACGGCTCGAAATCTCGCAACGACCTAATAATTTCACTGAATATAGCATTTTCAAAGAATCGTGATTGGGAACTACCAAAGTAGACTGAGATACAATACTGAGTTTTTTCATGAAAAAAGCAAGGTCTGAGCAAAACAAGTTATTATTGCTAATATAGTTGAGCCAGCCGCTTTTTGCCGCTACGCGGCAGGTTCGCCTGGTACTCGACTACAGCTTCGCTTCTCTGTATATCTTTCGTTCCACTCTGTATTGTGCAAATGTGGAATTGTGAACTTATTAGTTTGCACGAAACGCTTCGGCTCAACCTATGTAGGAGGGTGTTCGAAGACGCACTTCGATCCCTCAATCAAATTTGTGTTAATATTTCAAGCAACAGAAAATGCACAGTCAACAACACAGAAGGACTGGATGTGTCCCATGACATGTGTAATATGTCTGTACCCATGTTACAGACATGTTCACTTTTACATGTTCATTCACCTTACATGTGTCCCATGTCCCATGTAAGGTGAAGACGTTATCACGGTGATGGAAGTGGAGGCACTTAAAGGAAGTACAGTACGTGAGAAAGGCGTCATGGTATGAAGAAAAGATGGGAAGGGTATATAAGAGTGTTGACTGTCATTGGATTGATATTGTCGGTGGTTATGCTTGATCCTGTGGGTGAGTGAAATTTCTGTTCTCGATAAACTTAGCTCGTCGATGAATCTCGCTGAGAAAGGGATTGATGCGTAGTCATATGTCGTTGTCGAGAATGTCAGACGAAAAAAATGATGAATAGATAGAAAAAGTTATAGTTGAAGCAATAGATATTGTGTTCATAATAACCATGCCAATCTATCCTTTCCTTGCCGCCAATTTCAAGTTTCAAGAGCGTAAAGTAAGAAAAATTAGTAAATCGATTTAGCCTGTATTAGTGGAAATAGCTTACTAACAAAGGATCCGTTTGAAATTTATGCATGCGAAGTTTGAATCAGATCTTACAATTTTTTTCTAGCATTCTGGGTTGGTCATAACAAATGGCGCAAAAAAGGCCGAAGCTAATGAATCAAAAACGACAACAGATTATTTTTGATGTAAGCTTAGTGACACCCGTCCGCCACGAAGTTCATGCTTGCGAAGTTTGGTTCAGACCTCATATTTTTTTAAAACATTTTGGACAGGCAAAAATTTTTTGAGCAAAAACTGCAAAAAACGGTATGTTTTGAACGTAATAACTTATAAACACACGCCTCGCATCATTCAAATACGTATGAAATGTGCTATACCCCTCTTGTTTATCTATCAGGTGATAACGGATTAAAGTTGCTAATGAGACATTTTTCTGAAAACGAGTGTCAATAAAAACGATAAACGCGCAGCAAATTGCAGCAAAAACTAGCCTATGCTACTCTTCGGGAACACATGTGTCTTTAGACTGAGTTAAAACTTCTATTGTTCAGGGAGGAAATTTGATAGGCAATTGAAAAAATCAATAAATCAATAGGGGTAACTCGTGTGTCCCAAACAAAAGGCGCATTAACACACGCTCCTCCCCACACAATGAGTTTGCCAAATTTGGTTCAGATTCCATAAGTCCTTCTATTCTTTTTGGGCGAACATACAAAATTTTCTAAGCAAAAACGGCCGAAAAATTGATAAATCAGCAGGGGCATTTTCGTGTGTCCCGGACAAAAAGCCTTATTAACACACGCCCTACACCATACATTAGGTCTGCCAAATTTGGTTCAGATTTCATAACTCCTTCTATCCTTTTTGGGGGAACATACAATATTTTCCAGGCAAAAACTGCAAAAAATCAATAAATCGATAGAGTCAAACGGTGGACCCCGAGCAAAAAGGCTTATTAACACACGCCTCATTCCATACATTATGTCTGCCAAATCTGGTTCATATTCCATGACTCCTTCTATATTTTTTGAGCGAACATACAAAAAGTGGCTAAGCCAAATATACAGGGTGCGGCAAAAGTCTGGGAGCCTAATTTTGCAGTACTGCAATTACAAAGATACTGGTGGTTTTGATTTCAATTTTATGCCACATGATGCTGCGGTCATCCTTGACAGAATGCACTTTATTTGGCAGGAAATGGCTACCATATGTTTTTGTAAGAATGAAAACTACCAAACTAGTACTTTTGCAAGGCGAAAAAACCAGAATTTTTAGTATTTACAATTTTTGCTGTAGCTAGAGATGCTGTTAGTATTTTACAAAACTTTGATGCACACAACATAGAAGAGGCTTTGCGTTATTGTATCCTAGTTTTGCTTTTGCCAGGAGCTGTTCTTGCATGAGCGGAAAATAAAAGTTTGTAATGTTATCTACGTGCCAGTGGAAATCTGTCTTTAAAACAAATTTAAAAGCTATAGAATGCTCAATAGGCACTGGGACTAAGGTTGTATTTTTTGCATACGTCTTTTAAATTAGAATCTATTGAAATTCGGCCATGGAAACACTTTTTATACTTTTTAAACGAAAATTTTGAGTTTTTATTCGCGCATTTGTAGTCAAATTCCGGTATGCGACGTACACATGCTTCTGATTGAAAATCCAATATTTTTATTCCTAAACAATGCAAAAAATTCTTTTGGAAGCATGTTGTAGATAAAAGCTTGCTCTATCGTGCTGCATATTTGCCAAGGCAAAAGAAGCAGTCATTCTGAAGGCGTGGGGCGAATTCCATGATGACTACCTGCGTGCCATGACAGGTGGACTTGCCAAGATTTTGTAGGGCTGCGTAAAAGCCAAAAGAGGCAATTTCGAAATTCAAGAACTGAGCTGTATCTGCAATGGTTCGAATTATGTGTGCGCCAAATTTTTCGTTTCTAGGTGCTTTCCTTCTCGTTTTGTACAAAAAAGTACTAGGCTCCCAGACTTTTGCCGCACCCTGTACATAGTATTATATAGTATATTGATTGATATTGAAACGTCACACACTAGCTGCTTCGAACGTTACTGAGTTCTGATTGAAATATGCGTACCCACCTACAACATCTGGAGCCCACGTCACTCGCGGCCCATCATCGGCTGGTGTAGAACGAAGTCTGAGAACCAAATCTTCCTGTAAAGCCATACCCTCGATACATAGAGCCACGTACTCTGGTAACCTTCACTTTGAGGGCTATGAGGGGACACAACCTTCATGTGGAAACAGAAGTCATCCGGCGCAAAGCCCCGGATGTTATCATCCTGACTATTTCGGAACGAATGCTAATGAAGCAAACTTAGGGAATAATATCGTTAGTTTATCTCAGCGTAACCGAAAATTTGCGTTTTATAGCTTTTACGTTAAAAGGAAAATTTCTGTGGAATTTTCGCCAGAATTCAAGACGATTCTCTGTCAACTTCTCATTTGACCAAAATTGAGTATCAGAAGTTTAGGAAAGCTGTTGGAGTTATATTGAAAGAGAAACTGCGCTTAAATCTTTCGCAGAGGGTCGCGCATGAGAACGCTGGTCTATCTCGCTAATGAGTGGCTTTTAAAGCTTGGGACGTTGTCAGTTCTCCTCGCCATGTCATGACGATCAGAATGATATATAATGTTGCAGGGTTTTGTTGAGACCCCGCAGAGATCTACGACCACAGCCAAATGCCCCGTCGGCTCTGGTCTGTCTCCGCTGCTCGTCTGCGTCTCCGCGCGCTGCGCGCTACCTCGCTACCCCAAACGCGGGGCGCGGGGCATTTGGCTCTGGTACCCTTTTCTCCGCTGTTTCGAATCCAATTTTAGCAAGCTATATTCATTTTAAAGCTCTTGATCTCTATTTTCACGCTGACAACGTCCCAGAACCACATTCTTTGATTAGATCGAGAAATCCAGCAAAAACCTTGTTTTTGAAAATCTCTTGTTTTTCTTCTAGTTCAACTCTTTTCACGCGGTTTTTTCGTGCATTCTATAGATCTTGCTTCTGCTCATAATGCAGACAACCACCCAGCCCTTACTTCTTCGATTATGGTGGAATTTTTTGCGAAAAATCGTCAAAAGGGCGTTTTTCTTTACCATGTTCTGTTTCAGTGCTTTCGCAGCGATTTTTTTCCATCTTGGGCGATTGTTGCTCAGAACAATAAGCGCAACAATCTAGACAACGTCCCAGGAAACAGGAACGTCAATGCGGGGGTGAAAATTTAAAGGACGCATCAAAAATCAAAACCCCGTGTTGCGAATTGTTGGTCCTGGAGCGAAAACTTGCACCTTGAAAAGCCGCCAGTTGAAAAATTTTAAACCTTTTTGCAGCATTTTTATCCGGTTTTCAACCGTTTCTTTTGCTTTTTATATCCGTCTTACGTCATTTCCTCATCTCTGATCTTCTTTAGACAACCTTCACTATTTATGACGTCAGATGTTCAAACAACCTCCACTTTTTACGCCCTGTCTCTAGACTATCGAAGGTATGTGTAAAGCTAACGAATTTATCTACCGAATGTCTGTTATCTTCGCCCTTCGCTGCTGTTTGGAACTCAATATAACTGTAAGCGTGATTTGGCGACTCTTTAGTTAACACAGATTGCAAAGATGGAAGCAAGAAGAAATTTTTATTATAGATAGAGATTGCAGAATCGGAAGAAAAAATGATTACTTTACTTATCGCGATTTCAAGCATCGCAATCAAAAATCTAAATCTTTGACAAAAGATCGAAGACAGTAAACTCTTAGCTTTAAAACTTTTTCGAAAAATGCAGGTGTTGACTGGCGTCTCCTTGATGTTAGGTTGTCAAAAAAAATAATGTTAGTCTTTGTTTACTCGCGATGGCACCCAACCAGACGAGCCCCAAGAACGCTTGAGGGGTACTGTTGGATAGAGCAAAGCAAGACAAGATGGTGTCCGTCCCGAAATTTTCTACGGAACTCCCGATCGTACACATCATATTACCGACATCAGATATTCATATATACAGTTGCTGTATTTTTTTTCTTGACTAGAAACTGAGAGTTCGGAAAATTTGGTGTTTTTTCAAAGCACTGCTGAGTCGTTTTGGCATAAGTGATTCTATACTAAAAGCTTTCCTACGTATAACTGTGGGTTACTAGCTTTTTTCGAGCACTAGTTTCCAAAAGTTTTGATTTTAGCAGAAAAACCAGAAAAAGAAAAACTAAAATTGATAATTCTCGAAAACTAGAGCTCGAAAAAGCTTGAAAATTTACAATTACGCTTACAAAAGCTTGTAGTATTAGGTTGTAACAAAATTAATGCAGGTTTTGAATTCCAACCGCAATAAGTCATACACTTCTCATTTCTAAGTAGGTTGCAAAACACCATTCGATAGAGCAAAGCAATCTCTACAAGGTGGCAATCTTGCTTTAGCAGCAACTCTGGTCCACCACAAGTTTCGAGCCAAAAACTAAAAAGATTCAACTGTCCGAAAAATTGAGAAAAATAGTAACTCAGTCCGTAAAAAACCTACAAAAATTTCAACTTGCTCACGTAAACACTATTCTCATAAGACATCTATATACACCTTTGCCGTATTTTTTTCACCGTTAAAAATCAAGAAAACGGAAATTTTCGTGCGTTTGTCAAAGTGATGCTGTGCCCTTTCCACATAGGTAGTTGTATACTACAGACCTATAGAAGTACTAACGCAAATTTTCAGCTCTCTACAAGCTTTAGTTCTCGAGAAATTTGAATTTTAGCTTGGACCATCTGACTAGGGAAAGCTGTAATCGATATAACTCGAGAACTAAAGCTTGTAGAGAGCTGAAAATTTGCGTTAGTACTTCTATAGGTCTGTAGTATGCAACTACCTATGTGGAAAGGGCACAGCATCACTTTGACAAACGCACGAAAATTTCCGTTTTCTTGATTTTTAACGGTGAAAAAAATACGGCAAAGGTGTATATAGATGTCTTATGAGAATAGTGTTTACGTGAGCAAGTTGAAATTTTTGTAGGTTTTTTACGGACTGAGTTACTATTTTTCTCAATTTTTCGGACAGTTGAATCTTTTTAGTTTTTGGCTCGAAACTTGTGGTGGACCAGAGTTGTTGCTAAAGCAAGATTGCCACCTTGTAGAGATTGCTTTGCTCTATCGAATGGCGTTTTGCAATCTACTTAGAAATGAGAAGTGTACGACTTATTGCGGTTGGAATTCAAAACCTGCATCAATTCTGTTACAACCTAATAGATTGACTTATGCATTTTCGATTTCTCAGTCTCCAATCAAGGAAAAAATACAGCTATAAATGTCTGATGTCGTTAGTATAGATATGTAGGTTTACGAATTCCTTAGAAAGTCTCTGGACGAGGACTGATTTTATTCGATTTTTTGGCATTTAGAACTTTTTGGATTTTGATTTTTTACTTCACTTGGATCAATCCTAATGCGGAAGCATCAATGCCATTTTTTAGAACTTGCTTTGCTTTATCGAACTGTACCCCTCATGCGTTCCTGGGGCTCGTCCGGTTGAGATGCCATAGCAAACAAATAGAAACCAATATTATTTTCTTGACAACCTAATAAATTATGATTTTCGAAAAGATAATGCATATGCGAAGTTAATTTTTGTAGATCTAGCTTGGTGAATGTTTTTTGTTACAGTTTCAAGTCTTAGAAAACTCAGAATTTTTGAAAGATTCGTCTTCATGGCATGTAGGCAGGATTCAAGGTCTATTCAGAACTTCACATCCGCCGTCCGTGCGCGAAGCACCCGAATATGACTGTCTGTTTTTGGCGTCTTCCGGGTGAACAGCGAGATACCGGAGGATGTGCCAATCTGAGAGTGCATACAGATAGAGAGTGTAACACAGTCGTGTCTACGCACAGTTATCTGAGCCGTTTAAATGTCAATGTGGGATGTCTTGACCACCATTGACACTCCAATCAGAAAAGTCCCTAAAGAAATTGAAAAATCGATTTTTTTGTTTTAATCAGTCGTTTCAAAGTTTTTTTCTTCCATAATCTGTTCTTTCATTACTTATTACAACGCGGGTGTTTACGTGTTTTTGTCCGTGTGTTTGTCTGTCTGTAACGAAATTTATAGAATGCACAGCAGACAAGGTTTAGGCCAAATTTGCATAGAGCTTGCTGCCCCACCCCCCCCCCCCCCCTCCACACTATCGTTCATCTCCCGTAGGCCTGACATTAAGGCTCTATCAGACATAACTAGTAAACATATTTGTGTTTATCATATCAAGTAACACCTCTGAGATAAGCATTAGCCTATGAGGCCATTATTGGGCTACCCAAGTGAAGTGATCAATTCCAAACATGGTTAACTATATTTCTAAAGTGAATGCTACCTCTTTTGTACTCAGTACAAAGCACTACTCCCTATTTGCCCATATCATGATTCCTGGAATGATATCCACGAAAGTTCATAATGGAGGAAGATGAACTTTCAAACCCCATTTGATTCGTTCGCGGTAGAAATTGGTAGGAATCTCCTTTCGCTAGCGTTATCCAAAAAATTTTATCTCATCGCAACCACGAGGCAAAGCGGTGTGATGAAATTGATTCAACCCTACTTGAGCACTCGCTTACGAAGAGAGTCATGCGAAAAGTCCATTTAGAACGGGGCAAAATGGGATTTACCCCCATTTTGAATGGACTTGAAAGCCCATTTTACTCCCAGCAGCAAGGTAAGCTGGGACTAACCCCATTTTTGACCTCTTTGCCCATTTTTGATGGCGATTTTTTGAGAAGGTGTTTCTTAGCCGAGTGGAAAAAGTTTCATGAATTTTAGAAAGTCTGAAATAACTGTTTGTCTCTAAACTTATACAAACGCTATAAAAATCATGGAAAAAGGTTAAATTCACCAAAATATTCGCTAACAAACTAAAATGCTTCCAAATATCAGGTCGATTCGAAAATTCCTATGTAAATCAAATAAAGTTCGTTAACTCTTCAAATCATCAACCAAAACTAAATTCATGATTTGCATTCAAAAGTAAAAAAGATTTGCGTTTCTATCTAACTCAGAAGTTATCTTTTGACTAATCTCGCAGAACCGAACCTCAAAGACGCATTTCAAACGCGATTTTGAGTTTGGCCGCAATAATTACTAAAATGGCGCTAGCTGGCAAGAAAATTTCTGTGAAAAATTTCCTAATAGCAATAGTCCATACAT